CCAGTGGAGATCGACGGGGAGCCATTGCGCGCGTGCGACGAATGCGACGACTTGCGACGGTTGGGGAGGAGCGTGCGACGGTCGCGGCGACGAAACGACGGAGACGTCGAGCAAGGAAGGCGAACAAGGGTTCGAAACAAAAATGCTGAAGAGGGGCCACACCTCAATACGGGACTGTCCAAGACTATCCAAGACTGTCCTTATGGGGAATGTTCCTTGGAACAAGGCTGTTCCTACAAGACTGTTCGTGCAAGGCAATGGTCCGAAAGAATCATTCGAGCGTGCTCCGCTACGAACGAGCTGTCCGCGGGCTGGCGAGCGCAATGCAGACTCAAGCGGCGCTGAGAAAATTACGATGGAAGTTGAGACTCGAACGGTAAGACTGACGGTATCTAGAGCATGGCTGCCCGGCGACGGAAGTAAGCTGAGCACAGGTTCAGGGACAAAACCGAGGCGGAGGTGAGGAGGATGGAGCAGGCTGATGGCTATGGCCTGTGTGGGAAAGGAACGAGAAGAGGGTGACGCGAGAGCCGTGGAGGGACTTGGGGGAACATCAGGCGAGCGGAGCTAGGTTTTCTGAGGTTGAATTGTTACGCGAAGGAGCTCCCAAAGACGCGGCGAAACTCACAAATAGCTTAGTGAAGGGTTGAAATCCTAGGTTACGACGCTGGGCTGACCGACTGACAGAGAGGCAGCAGCACTCACCTAGGCAGAAAGCAAGGGAAGGAGAAGGAAAGGCGCTCCCTGCCAACATGCGTTACGTCTCAATTACATCTCAGAGTTGTTGCGTTGCATTGCAGCAGATGCACTGTTGCCAAAGCACCTCCTCCTCGGTCCGTCGAGGTGAGGTGGATCAGGCGCGCTGGCCTGGGGGAAGGGGGAAGGGGGGCGTGGCCTTCACCACGAGCATTTCCTGGACGAGGCGGGCCGGAGAGGGCAAGGGGGGAAGGTGGAGGCTGACGAGGTTTCTGCTGCTTTGGCAGCTGAGCATGGGGAGAAAGTGGGGGAGAGGGTTCTGTTCATGGGGCGGGCCACAGTGCCAGGTAGAATGCAAGGTGGGGGCTGAGTGGGTGGCTCGGTTGCCAGGAGAAAAAGAACATGCAAGGCCTTACAGACTTGGTCGGGGCGCGGAGAACCACCCACAATGGCGTGTGTTTTGGCATTACCAGGTCTTGAACCAGAGAAAATACCTCTCTTAACGTACTGAACCGTTCTGGGTTCTCCCACACCGTTTACAGACCAATTTTGAATGGGGGGTGAGGTGAGTAGAACCTCAAGTTACGCTTTAAACCTTTCTGAAAACCTCTGATATCACGTCCCACCAATTTGTTTATTTAACCCGGCCGAACTGTCGCGTTTCTCCCGAAAGCACCAAGGTGCTCTCAAAAAAATCCACATCGAATCATCGGTGTCCCTTCCTGTGCCTGCTCTTTTTTTGTTGCCCGGTTGTAGGGTGGCTCCTTTGCCTGCTCCATAAGAATTTCGGTGGAAAGGAAACGATCCACTGGGGTGAAACAAGACCCTTGGCTGGGAGGATGTACAGCCCAGTACAGTACAGTAATAAGGGGCTGGTTCTGCGGCGCCGTGTTAGGTTACGCGAGATGGGTTGGTCCTGGAATGCGGTGCGATGTGGCGTGACGAGCACACGCGCTGTGCATGTGCGACGACTCGGGGCTTACGATTAAGAATATCGACCGCTGTGCGCTCTCGACGATTAACAGAGATACGGGATGAGCGGTGATCTTGAGGCCGTGCGAGGGAAGCGCAACCAATAAGGGGACACGGTGCTGGGATGCGATGCGATACGACGCCATGTCACGCTTTGGAACGACTTTTACATCCAGAACACAGCAGCCGTGGCACGTCACAGTAGAGCGCCCCTGCATGATGACGTGGCCGCGATTCTCGCCTGCATCATTGCTGCTTCACGCGCTTGGCCGTTTCTGTGCTTATTCGTGAAACGTCCACCCCCTGATTCATGGCAGGGTTCGAACACTGTGAGTATTGGGAGAATCACCTGAAGGCAACAGAGAGGCCCCAACGTTGGACAAGCCCGTACAAAATTTGCCACGGGGATTGAACATTGGTGAGCGCTGCAGGGATAAAAATATCATGTTACACCGTACGTCACCCATTGGAAGGAACTCGTAATTTCTTACTGAGGCTCTCAACAGCGCGTAAGACTCGAACAGCCCTGAACCATCGCCACGGTTCCAGACCTTTCAGTTCGAGCCTCCTGGGGATTTCCGGACCTCGCTTCGACATTTTGGGACCCTTCGATACATTTCCCGAACCTTATCATCCTACGTCCAGGATTCTCCTAGGTGCTCTATATATTGTCTTGCTTTACATTTTATTGTCATTCACTCGTTAACAGTTTCGCCATTGCCCTCCGCGCTACTCGGCAGTTCCATTCATAATACCCATTGTGGTCACAAGTAACAATAATCGCTACAACGTTGAGTTAAACACTTGGCTCCATCACATTGCATTTGATAGAATCCCCATTCTTATGGTAGGTTCATATGCAGGGCCTCGAAATTCAGGCCCGAAAGGTCTGAAGGCCTGTATATCAGGGTGTTTTCCAGAGGTCGGCTTGTTTTTCCAGGTTTTTATTTTCCCTTATCCAAATTTTTAGGGGCTCTCATTTTGCTAGGCCTCATTTTTAGTGTATTCTTAATTTGTGTAACCTGATTAATCAACATTAACAAATTTGAATCTGAAGGCCGGGGAGGAAATTATCGTCAGTGTTTGACGGTTGTCAGCAACCCCATTTCAGGTTTGTGCAGTGATGCGCAGATGCTGTGCTGTATGCGGAATGAAAAATCGGCAACAGTGATTATGAAATCAATGGAAATCCGGACCTCCCACTTGGCCATCCGAGTTGGGTAGAAAAAACTGTCCAACATATAGATAGGTTATGTTTGTATAGAATGTATAGGTTCGTATCTTAGAGGGTACAACACTTCTACTTATACCATTGTACGCTTTTCTCTCGACATTCAATCTTACGTTAAGATGGTATCACGCTTGGTAGGTAGGTCCTGCCGCCCACACTTCCGCCCTACGCCCTCGTCGCGCCGCCCCTAGCCCTTCGTGCCCGTCCTAGCCGGCCCCCTGAGCCGTTTGCGCCCGTCCTAACCGGCCCCCTGAGCCGTTCGCGCCCGTCCTAGCTGGCCCCCTGAGCCGTCGCGCCTGTCCTTCCCGACCAGCACCGCCAGGCACCGCTCTACACCGCACAGCACCGCACTACATTGCACTTTACCGCTCTGCACCGCAGTGCACCGCTCTGCACCACACAGTACCGTACTGCACCGCCTTGCATCGCACAGCACAGCACTGTACCGCATTGCACCGCTCTGTATCGCACAGCACCACACTGCACCACTCTGCACCGTACAGCACTGCGCCGCTGCTGCATCGATCCTGATGGCGGACTCCGTGCTCCGCTTCGATACAGAGGGACAGCCTATCGAGTTTAACACGTGGCTGGTCGACCTCCGGCGTCACCTGACTGGTTAGCGGCAGGACGGCCACTCCCTGGCGGTCCACCTTGACGGTACGCTCCCCTGCCCTGACCCCCCGGCTGCCCTGCCCGCTGACCCCTCGTCCGCTGACCGTGAGTCCGCTGCAGCTGCTGCCCTTGACCGCTCAGTTTGGCTGTTGCAAAACGCTGTCGCACAGCTTGCGATCAGTCATGCCCTCCCCCTGTCTGAGTGCCCACACTTTAGGTCAGTCACGACTGGATGACATTGTTGCTGCCCTGCATGTGATGTATGCTGATGACTCTAGTGTGACTGCTTCTTACTACACCTTGCTGTCTAGTGTAGGCATGTCTAGTCTTGCCTCCCCTGCTGCGTCAGGCGCAGGATCCCCTGCATTGTTTAGCCTAGGTTCTACTATCGCTGCTCTGTCTTCAGACGCCACCACTGCGCTCTCCTTCACTCTCGACTCTGGCGCTTCTCAGTATTTCTTCCGTGACTCCACTACGCTGACGCCGCTTGCTACTCCTGCTGCAGTTTCCCTTGCCGACCCCTCCTCCGGCTCGGTAGTCGCTCGCAGTTCCACCACCCTTCCCTTTCTGGCGGTTCCTTCTCCCGGGAGGTGCCCCCCTCACCACGTTCCCCCGGGACCCGGTGTCCGGCCTATTCACACTGGAAACTGCTACCCCCCTGGTAGGGACGTCTTCTCATATGGCTGTGTCTACCCAGGTTGCTGCGGCCTGCTCCTGTTGGTCGCTCACTCACCGGACACTCCTGTGGCACCACCGTCTATGTCACCCCGTCATCCAGTACTTGCGTCACATGTCACAGCACAGTCTTATCCTAGGTCTCCCAGGGTCGTTCCCCGAGTTGCCCTCCTCCCCAGCACCACCGTCCACACCCCGTGTCGAGGGCCGGCTCCGCCGTGCCCCTCACTCCTCCTCTTTCCCCCCTACCGCCGCACCGCTACAGACCCTGCACATGGACGTCTGGGGCTCCGCCCCCATCCATGGGACGCATCGAGAGCGCTACTTCCTCGTGCTTGTCGACGACAATACGCGCTACACCACCGTGTTCCCCCTGGAGCGGAAGGCCGACGGGCCTGACGTTCTCATCCCGTGACTTGTCTCTGCGCGTGTCCACCGCGGTCTCCCTGTCTTACGTCTCCACTCCGACCGTGGTGGCGAGTTTGCCTCTGGTGTCCTTGGTCGTTTCTGTCGTGCGGAGGGCATCACCCAGACGTTCACCCTGTCGGACTCCCCACAGCAGAATGGGGTCGCTGAGCAACGCATCGGCTTGGTCATGGAGGTGGCTCGTACCTCCATGATCCATGCCAGTACACCCCATTTTCTGTGGTCGTTAGTTGTTCGCTACGCCCCTCACCAGCTTAACCTGTGGCCGCACCCCCAGCAGCCGCAGGTTTCACCGACCCTTCTTTGGCCCGGGTCTCCTGGTGATGCCTCTGCGTTTCACGTCTGGGGCTGCCTTACTCACGAGCTCACCGCCCGCACCCTCCCATGTGTCTTCCTCGGTTTCCCCCTTGACGCGTCTGACTAGCACTTCTACCACCCGCCGTCTCACCGGTTCTTTCACTCCCGTGACGTCACCTTTGACGAGTCCGTCTCATTCTACCGCCGCTTCCCCCACAGAGGTCCCCCGGTTACTCCCCCCAGTTCCTGGTCACCCCTTCCCCTGTCGCCCCTGTCCCTCCCCCTCCCCCTCCCCGTCCTGAACCATCTGGTGTGTCTCACGTCACTCCCCTCCCGTCGGTTGTCCCGGTCGAGGAGTCTGCTCACTCTAGTGGCCCTACAGCGCAATCCTCGCCGCCTGCCCCTTCCCAGGCGTCGCCTCCGCCGCCGCCTTCGCAGTCGCCGTCGCCACCGCTGTCGCAGCCGCCGTCACCGCCGCAGCCACCATCGCAGCCGTCGCTGCAGCCGACTCAGCAGCCATTCATTGACTCTGTGGGTGCTGGTGCTGGGGTGGGTACTCGTCCTCAGGTTCCTGTCGTGGCTTGTCCCGGTAGGCCTGGGGGTGGTACCGGTGTTCGCCGGGTTTCGGGCCCTGGGGGTGTTCCTTCTGGGGGTGCTGGAATGGAGTGTTCCGGCGGTAGCCGTGGAGCAGCTTGCCGTCCCAGTGTCGGTGTCGTGCCGCCT